ATCTTTGGAGTTCCTGTTCCTGTCTTTTTCTAATGTTTATCCTGGAGTTATCTTAATACATCAGATGATTTTGAGTGTCATTCCTTCTGTAACTTACAGATGCAAAGCTTTTTGAGCCACATTTAATTACACTTTAGGCAGCTGGAAAGTAGTCTCTTGGTGGAGAGGGAACACTAGAGGCTTATCTGTGCGTAGCGGTGCTTCTGGTAGTGCAGAACAGTGTCAAATACTCTGCATTTTTTTCCTTTAAGCTTTGTATGCTCATAAGTGGGAAATTCAAGTCTTTGGGGTATTAATTTCTACCTCCAAAGTAGTATGGAATTTGTAGTATTTTGCATGACTTTCTAGGCACTTTACAAATAGAAACGTAAAATTTTGTTTAATAGGTTAAACATTTGTTTAATCAGTTAAAGGCAGGATGCTCCAGCCATGGATAAGGGCTGCTCTGGCTGGCAGCCCCTACTTGTGAAGAGGGGTGAGGGTTGGGAGGGGCTGGGCTGGGTCCGTCATGAATAGGCATTGTTCTGGCCAGCCAGTTGGAGTAGCTTCTCCCTGCAGTAGGCTTCACCAACGGGTTAACTGGAACCAGTTAAAGGTAAGGCTTACCTGTTAACAATTGATGTCCCTATTTACAGACATAGGAATATAGGCAAAGTGGGATCAAGGCTCATTTTATTTTCTCTGGAATTGCTCCTTTGCTTAGCCACAGTTAATTTATTTTCTTAAACCCTTGACTGTTTTTGTTTTTAAATTTCTTTGGTGTGTTAAAATACTGTCTGGATTTAGTTTTTTATTAGGTTTCCTAAATGCATGCATATTTTAACATTCTATGTTTAAAAAATACTATACCCCCACTTACTATATTACCATAATGAACATTAACCTAATACTGTTCATTATAATTGTCTTCTCGTGTTGAGACCCTCTCCCTCTATTTACCATTAAGTTTCCTTGTGCTTTCTATGAGACAAAATGGGAGCCAAGCAATTGTCTTAGCACCCTCCCATGAGCCAACAAAAATGGAACCACTGTCATTCTCAAGTCCAATTTGGTCCCAATTGGACCAAACTTTTTGAGAGTTATTGTGTTTAATCCTGATATTGGTGGCAATAAAACTGGTTCCTTTGAGGTATCTCTAGCTTTTATGGGTAGGAGCCTTTATAGACTGCCATCCTGAAAAGGAATTAGAATGGCCTGATGATGGAATAGGGACACTGGGGGCTTATTGTGTTAATTGCTGTGGCTGGATGTGGAAAGCAAAAGGAGGAATCAGTCATATTGCCCTCTTCCCCATCTGCTGCTTCTCATGGAAATGATGCTTTTAACAGCCTGCACTCCCTAATGAAAGGGGCTTTTAGAAGGTTTGAGGGAAAATGGCAAGTCATGCCTGCATTCTGTGACTTGCTCTGCAGGCTTGGATAAAGAACTTGCATCATGGTGCCTGTTTACCCATCTATTACAGGTAAATAAAGCTCGTTGGGATCATGGCTGACAGACTATTAAATTCCAAAGTATCTTTGAATGTCCCATATTTGCTGCTTCTTGAATATAAGATTAGAGTACCATGTCTGTATTTAGGGAGCTAAACATCATGCAGTGAGCTCCTCAGAATTATCTTTGCCTCTGTTTGGAAAGCATCTGAGGCTATGTCTAGACTGCAGGCTTCTTTCGAAAGAGGCTCTTTCGAAAGCATCTTTCGAAAGAGCCTCTTTCAAAAGATCGCGTCTAGACTGCAGGCGGATCTTTCGAAAGAGAAATCCGCTTTTTCGAAAGAGAGCACCCAGCGAGTCTGGATGCTCTCTTTCGAAGACGGCCTCTTTACATTGAAGAACGCCTTCTTTCGAAAGAGGAACTTTCGAAAGAAGGCGTTCTTCCTCATGAAACGAGGTTTACCGCCATCGAAAGAAAAGCCGCGTTCTTTCGAAATAATTTCAAAAGAACGCGGCTTGAGTCTGGACGCAAGGGAAGTTTTTTCGGGAAAAGGCTACTTTTCCCGAAAAAACCCCTGAGTCTGGACACGGCCTAAGAGATTTTGCATGTTACTGAGAATAATGCCCAAAAGATTTGCCGCATTGCTAATATATGCTCCTAGTACTAACCCTGACCTCTTCTTCCATGATGTTATCCTGATTTCTATTCTTGGTCTCCCAAACATCTTAAACATCTGAGATTAAACCATTTGGTTAATTTTTCACTCACATTATATAGGCATCTTTCTTAAATCTCCCACAGTTGCACTACTAGTAATACAGTTCATAGGAGTGTTAGATGTTAGATACAAAAAATCTGTTGCACTAGCATGTGCATTGTTGCTGGAACTTGTGCAACTGCAATGGTGTGGATAGTTTTTAAGAGTATAAATGAGGTGCCTAAGCTGTTGGTTACATGTTGCAGCTAACCCATTGAGAACCCCAAACTTGGATTCATATCAATCTGGGAAGGCCTTCAATTTGCAAACTGAGTGTTCTTCTCTACCCCAACCAATTGACTTGTAAAAAGTATTTCAAAATTAGTATAGACCCTTACTAAACAGTATGATGTAACATGAACTGAAGATGCAGCTGATAGTGCACATCAACTTGTGAGTGAGAAATGTTAAATGGCTTTGCTCTTTTGGGAAAAAAAATACTAGCAACTTCATTTATCTGTTTTCATGTAAACCCTGAAAAAATTACTACAAAAAAGGAACCGGTAAAAACAATCATTTTACACTTTTCCCCCAAATGTAACCACAATTAAGCACAATAAAAAGTGAAGCCATGCTTTTTAAATTTAGAACATTTGCAGCTAATAAACCATGTATGATCAAGGGCAAGCCCTCTTAATAGTTACATAATATATCTTGGGAGGATGAAAATGTGCATACATAATAATTCCCTGCCAATCCAGAAGGTGTTCTAACATAATATTCACTTAGCTTGAATGGACAATATGTTACTGTGGCTTGAGAGACTCAAAATGAAAAGAATGTTGCCACGCTTATGCATATAACTGGAAATACTAATAGAAAAGGCTTTCCTGATATTATTTATTCATAGAAACCTGTGATGAACTCTTCTTAGTGAGATCTGCTTTTCATATTCTGTTCAAGGCAAATTATACTTCAAACTAAGAACTAATTTTCTGTATATCAACATTTATTTGTATTAGACAAGCAATACTACACAGCAAGAAAATAGATTACTTAATATTTAGCTGAGACAAGAATTTATTTGTATTAGACAAGCAATACTACACAGCAAGAAAATAGATTTCTTGTCTCAGCTAAATATTAAGTCTTCTGTGAGCTATGAAGGCAGTAGATCTTAGCATGTTAGTCAGAGGCTGGAAACGGATGAGATAGGAGAGGGATCTTTTGATGATTACCTGGTTCTGTAATCTCTGCTCTCTGGGGCATCTGGCATTGGCCACTATTGGAAGACAGGATACTGGGCTAGATGGACTTTTGGTCTGACCCAGTATGACCATGCTTATGTTAGCTAAGCCCAAGGTAAACTCAACCACTTGTCCTTGTCACCTTTCCTCTTGTGTTCCTTCTACTTCATCTCTGGACCTAGGAATGTGTAACTGAAACTAGTGACTTCAGTTTTTACTTTTTTTAAAAGGAAAAAGCTTGTATTTTATAGTAGAGTGAAGAGTTTAGTTCCAATGAATAAAGATTTTAATTTCGCTTAATAGGCAGTATAATTTAAATGGAATTTTTTAAAAAATACATGTTCAGTCATCCTATATGTTGCTGCTAGAAGAAGGATGTTTATAGTTATCTGCACATTTCTCTTGCTTCTAAGTGGATTGTTGCCTGACTCAGGAATTCTGTCACAAAATGTTGCTAAAACATAAGTTTTGCACTTCTGTTACTTGCACATCAATTGACTTTCTGTGCAATACCTATGCAATTGAAAAATTTTGAATGCGAAATATGGAATTTTTTGATTTCCCATCAACTCCTGTGGACAAGTCTGAAGGATTCAGGCCTTAATTTTGTTGGAGGCCAAATGCTGCTCTGAAGCAAGCCTTTTCTGCTATTTATACAAAAAGGGCAGTGTGGTGGCTGGTAATGAAATAGAACTAAGCACCACATGTTAAACCCTCACTCCTTTTTCTCTGCTTGTGCACAGAGAGCTTTTTGTGTTGAATGCCTTTAATTTTTCCTTTCTTTCATTTACAATGAAGAGAGCAACAAGGGCAGGGATATTGAGGGTGTGTGAGGGAGGGGCTGGAAAAGCTACTCTTCAACTATATTACCATAGAATGCAGTCAGAGGCAGGGAGGGTGTGCCATTGTTCAATCCCTTATTGTACTGCTGTATATGAAGTTTAGCTGGGGATGAGAGGGACTGGGACAAATGGGGCTGATTATGAAGCTAAGGGCATACTTAGGCAAAGCAGTGCCCAGGGCTGCACATACACATTCTGCTTTTTCAGCAGAATGTGGATCACACTCAGGAGGTCACCCAGGGTCTGAAGGCAAGCACAGCCTCATTTCAGAGCTTCACCTCAATTCAGAAGGAGCACCGCAGTCTTAGCTAGAGAAATAAGAGGGAGAGGCTGCTCAGACACGAGGCATATGCGTGTTCTCTTGCTCTGTCTCAAAATAGTCTTCAGTGCTTTCATTTTGCCTTAAAAATATTACTTGAAAGAGAGAGAACCTTTATTTTTAAGATTCTGACTCTGTTGGAAACTAATCCTGGAGCATGAAGAGGAAGCATTACTGAAAGTGGTAATGGACCACAAAACAGCTGTCAATGGCAGCCGAGAATACCTAAAGAGAACAAAGAAATCTAATATAAGCACCCTATTTATTCTTTAAATGTACTGTCCTGAAGTCATCCCAAAGGTAACAGCATTTTCACTGTTCTGTCCATAACCAACTTTGTATATTACTGTCGCTCCATGCTCTAGAACTTTGGGATTATTGACTTAAAGTTTTTTATTTTTCTATGTATTGATATTTGCTTTGAAAATATTAACCTAACACAAGCCTTTCTTGTTTGCTTGTAGGTTTTAACAACCATTCGTTCAGGACACAGGGCAAATATTTTTAGTGCAAAATTCTTACCTTGCACCAATGACAAGCAGATTGTGTCCTGTTCTGGAGATGGAGTAATTTTTTTTACTAACATTGAGCAAGATGCTGAGACCAACAGACAATGCCAATTCACGTGCCACTATGGAACTACCTATGAGGTATTGTATATCATCAAAGCACAAGATTTATTTAGAACTGGAAAAGTAGATGCTGGTATTGATATTAGCCTGGATTTCAGTCTGATAGTGACAACTTCTTCTCTGTTTGCTTTGTAATAGTTTAAACTGGTTTTCTTTTATTTGTAACTTTCAGGTGTCATTTCTTTAATAAAGAATTAAATTATCCAACTGAAGGAGATGCTGTAAAGTCAAGTATTATTACGACCATTTCCTCTGCAAAATATAATAGCAGATAGCAACTGATACATAATGGAACTTATTTACTTATGTATTGGTGGACAGGTAGTTTGAATATCATTTGTTGTTAAAGGGAGGGAAACAAACTCCTTAAGGTAAATATAAATTTAAAAAGCTTACCAAGAATTTTGTGCTTTCAGCACATTTTCACTGTAAATTATAGATATAACATCTCATTCCTAAGGATTTTTTTAAATAATGCATTGTAATCATTAATAATCTTCAACCCCTCTCTGTTAGTAATAGCCTCATTATTTTACAGATGGGTAAAGCAATGCAAAGTATGTTCAAGTTACACTGCACATCAATGGCAAAGCTATAGTAAAAATCAAAGAGTTCCTGATTCCAGTTTCATGCTAAGTTCATTAAAAAAATTTCTCCTGTTTGCTCTAGTGAGATATTATTAACTATCATCATTTTCTTGGGGTTGTCAACATTCTATATTAATTTTCCAGTGTTTTTCAAATGCTGTTTCCAAAATTTAGATAATTATGGATGTACTTATCTAAGACCTTCCAGCTTAGTTCATGATAGGTCCTTCAGTTTTTATACAGAGTGAACAAAAGATATTAGAACCAAATGTGTAAGTATCAGACAAAGAAAATGAATGGTGTTTCATGTCAAAAAAGAACATGTCTAAAGAGGCTGTTGAGATTAATGTCTCATTATGTGATAGAAATGTCATTAATAGTATATGTCTGTGGTCAGTTAAAGGACTTCTCAGAATGTTTGTTAATTGCAGAATGACTTCTTCTCAGAAGATAAGCAGAGCAAACCCCATGGAGCTCATTTTGTATTTGTAGACATCCTTTGTATCTGGACATAGCTCTACTTCGGTGGTCTTAGGGCAGGTCTACACTTAAAGTAGTGCAGCAGCACAGTGAAGCTGCTACTATGCCAACAGAAGGGCTTCAGACATACATATTTGTAGTGTAAATACAGTTTTCAGCACCAAGTTCAACTGAAGACCAGAGTAACTGTATGATACAGTGGGGAGCTGGAATATAGCAATGAAGGATAAGTTAATGAATGTGATAAAGAATAGAATCCTGGTTTTGCATCTGCTAGGAACTTGTTCAGCCTAAAACATCATCTTGTATCAACTAGAATAATACCTAATAATAACTTCTTGAAGTAGATTTCTCAACAGAGCATACAACTTTACCAACATCACACAATTTCATGTCTCAAGTTCTGTTCTTTAAATCTGTAGTCTTACAGGATTTCTTGAGCTTGTGACTAGAATTCATCAGTCTATTGCCTAGCCATAGATTTTGTAGAGATTAGGTTCATGACATTCCCTTTTCAGTTTTACTGAGCACAGTGCTCACAACATTTTGGTTAAAGTACAGGCAGTCCCCGGGTTACGTACAAGATAGGGACTGTAGGTTTGTTCTTAAGTTGAATTTGTATGTAAGTCGGAACTGGTACATATTGTAGGGGAAACTCTAGCCAAACATTTCTCCAGAGCTCAGTTTTATTCTCCCACACCTCACTTCCCTCAGGGTATTATTCTCAAACTGAGGTGTCTGCTGAGAAAAGCTGCTCCGCATCTCCCTGGTCTGCTGGGGG